CAAGGGATGGGAATGGGGGAGGGGGGACGAGGTAGGAGGAGATGAAGGTGGTGAATGGAGAGAGGAAGGAGGGGATAAATGGGGGAGGGGGAAGGGAGGAGGGGGGGAGACAAGAGTAGTGCGACGCAGAAGGGGAAACATGACGAAGGTAAAACTGAATGGCACAAGTAGACATTGGGAGGCAGGCACCACAAATCTATCAAAAAATAGTTTCACCAGTAATTGAGCTCGGCAACTGGATCACATTTAAATTCAAACAATAAAATAATAAATAAAAAACAATAAAACAAATAAAGACCAAGTAAGCTAAAATGAATAAAATGAAACTAATATAAAAAAAGACATGAAATGAAATAACAACAATATTTTATAAATAAATAAACAAAAAAAAAAGAGAATAACAATAACAATTCTAGTATATCCTAATCCCATATCCCACCCAAAAGTATAACACGCTAAATACTATCTATTATGCATATTAAATGACCATGGCCAGAGGCGTGACGTTCTCTCTCCTCTTACGTTCAGTCAAGTTAAATTCTCCAAAGCTCATTAAGTCGTCGGCCTCGTCAAGCAAGTCACAACAACCGGTAAATAATAATAATGTCGTTACGTGTTAGTCAGATATGCAAGCGATCTTTTTTTTTCTCTCTCTCTCTCTCCCTCTACCTCTCTTTCTTTCTTTCTTTCTTTCTCCCTCGCTCTCTCTCTCTCTCTCTCTCTCTCTCTCTCTCTCTCTCTCTCTCTCTCTCTCTCTCTCTCTCTCTCTCTCTCTCTCTCTTGCCCTCTCCCTCTCTTTCGCCCTCTCCCTCTCTTTCGCCCTCTCTCTCTCTTTCGCCTTCTCTCTCTCTTTCGCCCTCTTTCTCTCTTTCGCCCTCTCTCTCTCTTTCGCCCTCTCCCTCTCCCTCTCGCCCAGCAAGTCGCAACAGCCGGTAAATCACACGAGTACCCATTCACACCCAGGGCGGCCAGTCAGCGCGATCCATTGCAAACCTCAATCACCTGCAACTTCGCCTTAGGGGATCGCGAAAACCGGTACAGCCGAAAGCACAAGGTGTACTTCCAAGCACCGGATACGTCCACGCCTTTGACAAAACACACACACAGATACAGACGCACGCATGCACGCGCACACAAAGACAAAGACACACACACACACACACACACACACACACACACACACACACACACACACACACACACATACATACACACACACACACGAAAAGTACGTGTGTGTAGGAGGTGCGAGAGATATTCCACAATCTAGGACCAAAACAAACAAAAAAACACAAAAAAACAAACAAACAAAGGCGAGAACAAATGAGCTCAGCCTCGCACGCACCGCCGCTCGCTCTCACACACACTCCCGACCTCATCGACACCCTTCCAACCCTTGCAATATTGCAACGCTCCTCATTGCAAAAGGACAAGGAGGGCATGCAGATCCTCGCCAATATCCGCAGTGACAAACAGCGACTACAAAGACAACAGAGACGCCCGCCCTGCTCCCCCGGCCCCGTGCATGATATTTGCATGACCTGTTAACGACCGACTGGAGACGCGCATCGGTATTAGCCTCCTGTGCATGATGGCGGGAGCATCTGGGGGACAGGAGCGGAGGGCGGCCGCACGGAATAAAAAACTCGACTCAACTGTGCGGCGAACTGCTGTAGCGCACCGTGCGAGGGGCGTTTAGAGCGGGATTATTTTTCTATAAGGATAATTTATGGGCGTAAATCTGATTTTCAAGTATCAAGGAATGTATTTTGCCCATTGCGTTTACTTCCACGAATTTTGCCCTAATTCTCACCATCCTTGTGTACATTCAGATTCAAGGTTTATGTAAAAAAAAAAAAAAAAAAAAAAAAAAAAAAAAAACGATTAACAAAAAACTTCCTCCGTTTACTAATTTCACCGAAAGAAACGTATAAAAAGAAACATACGTACACTAAAAAAAAAGAAAGAAAACAAAGAAAAAAAAAACGATTTTGGTGTGAATAAAAAGTTTAAATCACCCGACACTATAATAAGGCACTTCCTCGCCCTCGGTTAAACAACAGACTAATGAATTTTACGAAACAACTTCATATCACCAAACAGGTATAGCATTAAACAACATAGTGCTATATCAAAATCACATTACATAATATTACAACATAATATTACCAATCACTTGCAACATTATCAAACGCAGTATTACTAGACGAAGTTTTACCGCGTCGCGAACTTCCTTACGACGACATCGTCCTGCAACTTGTCCTTCCCTGCAACAAGGGGGGCGACCTTCTCCTCTCCCTCTTCCTCCTCCTTCTCCTATACCTACACCTACTATCCTCCCTCCCTTTCTCCACCTTCCGACGCCTACTTCTACTATTATTACTACTACTACTGCTACTCCTCCCCCTCCCCCATCCCCCCTCCTCCTGCTCCTTCTTCTCCTCCATTTTTCTTCTTCTCCTCCATTTTTCTTCTTCTCCTTCCTCCTCCTCCATCTCCT